TGTGTATGCCAATTGGTAAGGACCATGGTATGTTTTCTTCTTTTATGTTTTCTACCCTGATTACAGCTAAAGCTTTGAATTTGGATCTTCTAATGCATTTAACTTGAGTTTTTTTGAAGTTTTTGCACATGTATTCTACTTCTTCTGTATTAATGTTTGCCAGTAGGTCCTATATTGTTAGGCATATGTATGGCTCTGATTCATCTTCTGCTAGATATGCATTTTTATCATCTTCTTTTTCATTAAATTTTTTATGTTCTTTGGGTTTATTCTTGTCTTTTCTGCTGTTGTTTACTGTGTAGCAGCTCGGTTTCTTTTCTTGATTTTTTGATTCTTCTGGAATCAGTTTGAGCCAATCTCCTTCTTTCTCTTTGATTTTATCTATTGCTGCATCTCTACTGAATTCATAGTCAAAATCTACCTCAATCCAACTGTTTCTGTTTTTGAAAACCTCTTTAATTGTTTTAATATGATGATTATCATGTAGAATCCATTGTGTGTACTTTAGTCTTTCTTCTTTATTTGCACCTGGTATTGCATATGTTGGCATATTTGCTTTAAATGATTTGCTCTTGCCACATATATGATTAGTTGAAGACCATTGGCTCTGTTCGAATATGTCTACAAATATTAGCACTTCATGATTTTCTTCTATTATTAACCTTATACTTTTTTTATTTTTATCTATTGTTTTTCCTCTTTCTGTTTGCCGTAAAAAATTTGATGTAATTGGTTCTCTATCAGATGATGTTGATATGTTAAGATCTTGCATTTGGTTGATGACTACACTTAAGTTTGTGCTGGCTTCTTTATCACTACTCATTTTATATTGTTGTCTCTTCGTTTCAACATAAACTATATCCATGTTTTCCATATTTTTACCTCTTTCTATTCTTTCTATTTCTGCTTCCTCTTTTGGTATTTCTTCACTCTTCATGCTCAACAAGTAGTTAAATGATTTTGGGTTTTGATCTACTGCTAAAAGCTTACCTGCCCATTCTTCTATTGTGCTTCTTGTTAATGAAAAGGTTTCTGCTCTTTTGAGTGCTTCAAGTACTTGCTTATAAAGAAGTACATCACCTATTGTGATATTTTTGAGGTCATAAATTGCAAGATCTTTCACTATATACTCTAAATTGCTAGGGTTATCTATTCTTTTCGATAAGATTTCATCTAGTGTTCTGCTGTCTATGTATTTTCTATTTCTATCGCCAAAGCCTCTTATATGTTGTATTAATTCTGTGTTACCTGGAAGGCCTAGTCTGCACTGTACTTCTGTTTCTATTTTAGTTTGTTGTGTTTCCATTTGCTTAGCAGTACACATAGAAATTTTTATCTATTTTTCCTAATTAGGATAATATTGTTGTTTGTATAATATGCTGTGTTTGTTGTTGTTTTGTTAGCTGATTACATGTTCTGACTGTTTGTTTTCAGAGTCTAGAATGGTTTTCCACTTTTCCAAAAATAATAACAAAATTTTGCAAACTTTTCAAGTCAGATTAAACTACTTAAGAACCTTATTGAAAATTGCTATATCTATATTCGTGTATTAATAGAAAGCTTGTATTTTTATGCTAAACTTTCCTTTAATATCTTGTATAGGTTTATCCAATCTGTTTTGTTCTACTTCTATATGCTACTTTTGTCTATTAAAGTTTGCTGAAGATTGGTTTTCTTACTATTGCTTGTTGCTATTTTATTTTTTTCTTGTTTCTAAATTGGTTAGCTGTATCTCTATGTTTCTACCTTTTTTCTTAGTGCTCTATGTATTGCTTGCTTGTATGTTTTAATGTTATTTTATGTTTTTGCTTCCTGTGAATTTCGGTCAAGGGATCTACAGGAGAGAGTGGTCACTTATTATATATTCATTATTGTATTTTATATTATATTTATTATTAGTTATTAGTATAGTTATATTATAGTATATAATAGTTAGATAATAGGATCTTAATTGGCTATTAGAAGTGTGATACAGACACATAACATTGAGTAACATCTATTATGTTATTATTGTCTTACAAATTCCAAATATCCCTATATAAGTTTCATGTATTCTAGTACAAATTACTGTGCTAAATACTATAGTACAAGAATCCCAAGTATTCTCAACACAATTCCAAAGTATCCTTACACAATCTCAAATATCTTTAATACAATTCCCAAGTGTCTTTATACAATCCCAACTGACCCTGTATAGACTTAAGTACCTTAATACAAACTTCAAGTGTTTTAAGTACAAATAACAAATATATATAAAAATTGTCTTAACTATTCTTATACAAACTTCACTTGACTCTGCACAATACTACTACTTCAAGTATAGTATTAAGAGATATCACTCAAACTTCTACTATTTCTACTAAGTAAAAAGATATATAAAGGGTACCTTTTTTCTTCTTTGCTAATTCTAAGTTTCTATACTTCAATTCAAACATAATGATCTTTTAATTATAAAGTGTGATATTCCTTCTCTAGAGTAATTTCTACAGACAAAATTGTCATCATGTATGTTGTTAATAAAAAATTAATCTATATACTGTTATTATCTCAAACTGTTTGTTTGCTGCTATGTAGTAAAGTAAACTACTACATCTTTACTTTGTATATATTTGCAATAGTCAATTACTGTACTGGGTAATCTTGTTACTTGGTTGTATTGTACTAAGAAGGCTGCAATCCTGTAACATTATCATGGACTCACAATTACTATTTCTGAAAGTGTACAAGTAATGCCAATAGCTTCTATTAGGAAAACTTGAAAAGGAAAACTTGGTGCATGCTCATGTTTACAAATTCCTCTTATACTTGCATAGGCAATCATCATACATAAATCTTAAGACTTAACTCTTTTTAAAGCTACAATAAATATCAATAAAAAAGAATTTGTAGCAGGTCTCTCTTTTGTAGCAATATTATAAGTTTGATCTATTCATGATCTAATTTTTAAACACTTTATCTTTGAAAAACTTCAACATATTAAAAAATATACAAAAATATAAGAACAATTATTGAAAAAAAAAGGTCTTATAAATATAAACACTATATGAGCACTATTTTTAATTAATTTTATATTTAATAAACTTTATAAATTTAATTAATTTGTTTTCAGTTCAGCTAAATTAATATTCAAAAATTCTTAAAATTAATACTTTCTGTATTTTCTTAAAGCTGATTGCAAGTCATTTTAAAAATCTAAATACAATAAAAACTAATTAATTAAACTACTATAATTAGTTAATAAGTAAAAGAGAAGCTTTCTTTTATATAGCTAATTATAATACAATTACATTATATTAATCTAAATCATGACACTAAATTAATTTACAAAAAATATTATAGTGCTTTTAAATATTCATTAAACAAAAAAATAAATACATAATAATTATATATTTATACTAAAATAAATTTTATTTATATTTTTTTAAAATTTGTAAACTCATCAAATAACTTCTAAAACTTATTTGCAAAATATAAAGCAATGCTTCAGAACTTAATAGATCCCGTTTTTCTAGTTTAATATTACATTATTTATATAGTTTAGAGTACTTTTTAAAAAAATAAAAACTAATTATAATAAAATAAAAAAAATTTATATAAAAATTTTATTTAAAAAAGTTAGTATAGTAATAACTTAAATGAATAAAAATTACATCTTATTTTTAACTATGAAGTTTTGCAGCTTTAATCAAACCTTCTATATAATTTTTTTTTCTTTATTATGATTGGTTTTCGTTTTTTTAAAAAGTATAATGTAGTAAGATTAAATTGAATTTATTAGCCAATCAGACGAGCTTCTGCCTACGGTATCATGTGATCTTCGAAACTTTTTTGGGCGATTTTACCCCGGTCGCCAAATTGTGTTGTATGGCCCAAACTATACACTAATTTTGCCCGAAGTAGTATTGTTACACCGCATTAAAAATTGCAAAAATATTGATTGGCCTAATCAACATAAATCGATATTTTTCACTGTACTTGCCCGTGCCCTTGCGTCTTTTGTTGAGCATAAGCATGTGACAGGATTGCAGATCCTTATTTTACCGAAACAAATTAGTGCAAAATACAGATCTTTATCAAACATTTGAAAATGTCAAAATTTCAAAGTTTTTTTTTTACATAAATCAATTTAGAATAAAATTATAATCATTTTTTACTTAAGATATAAAAGTAGTTGTATTAATAAAATTTTGTTGTATAGCTCTTTAAAGTTTGCATTCTCTTATGATTTATTATAAGATTTATAATATAAATTGATTTTCCGAATAATTTTTTTTTGTCGTTTTCCGCCCTTTTCCCACATTTATTTCTATATAGATAGATGTCTTATATTAAAATATCAGCACATCTAATACTGTATTTAAAATAGTGTTTGGTAAATTCTTGAAATAATTTGATCCATTCAATGTAAAAATATTAAGCAATATCCATTAACAAACCACTAATACGTACGTACGTACTCGATATGCATTACATATACGTACAAAAATACATAATTATCTATTTATATGTATGTAACAGATATAGAAATAAATAAATAAATATCGATATGTATATAAATAATATATAATTACAAAATTTGGTTATACGTAATCAAAAATAATTACATAAAATATTCACATTGTTACTTGAATTTCCAATTATTACCGTTACCTTTAACAATTTCGGTAACCACAAAATTAATTGTTTAAAAATTGTTTTAAATAATTACATAATTCATTTGAATATTCTGATTATGTACATATACATTATTAGCAATATGAATCCTTTTATTTTGAAAGTCTGGAATAAAATTAAAAAAAATGCTCAAATAAGCATGATAATTGTTATGCAATATTTTTTTTGGTCTTAAGCATTGAGCTCTGTAAGATTAGAATACTGTATGTAATAATAATCAAAAGATCACAATAAAGGTTATTCCATTTAATCCGTTTATATCAAAGATAATAAAACATATTATATACAACGTTTTAATCAAATGAAAAAATATATCTTTGCTGATTTTATGGCTCTAGTCCACGTGAAATATCCGGCTCTAATGAGGTGATTGAAGAATCTGAACGGGAATCAGGTGGCGTTGGGGGTAAAACGATCGCTGTGGATGGAATTGATGATGAAATGGACGTAGATGAAGTTGATGATGGTAATTTTGTAGGGGAGGGTGGCAATTCATTACTATTCATATGCTTTCTCAACGAAATTGGGCTCCTACAGAGTGGACTAAAAATCACAAGAGTTTAGTCGAGTTAACAGTTAACAGGTAACGTTTCTATTATATTAGTATATAAATACCACAAATTCATCATTTTTGCACATTCCACGCAAAATCCATCATGATTACATGGCCTCAGTGTAATGCAAGGAGGCATTGCAAAGCAAATAGAACATTGTGCATCAAAGTCATCTTCAGTCGTTTCAAATTGTTGTTTCCAACTAGAACTTATGGACATTGATCGATAACGTGAAGTTCTCCAAACTCTCTTTTGTATTGAATCACGAAGTTCTGCTGATAGTTGGCCATGATTATTAAGTTTTTCATAAGATAATGATGACGGTGGATATCTTTAAATAAAAAAGAATATTTAGGTATTTAGTCAAATAACTATTTATTTGATTATATTTATAAAATTTACCGAAATTTCTCAGCTCCAAAGTTGACAACAGCTTGTTGATATGAAGTAAACGATAAGGCAGGATGCAGTCCACTTTCGGCTAATTTCCTAAATTGAGCAATGTTGAGGGGATGTACCATTCCCAAATCTTTGCCATTGAGATAGAAACGAACACAACCAAGGTTAATGTCCATATATACACCCACAATATCTCCTATTATTTATTGTAAATGGGTAACAAAAAAAAATTTAATTATTGACAAAGAAGACAAGTAACGTATACATAATCACAAGATACCTGGTTTCCATGACACATTGCCACCATATGGTATGGATACGCCGTTCGCCTAGAAAAATACAATTCATTATATTTGACAGTAATAATAAATATCAATTTATTTATTTATTATCCATTTAATAAATCTTACCCATAAGACATTTCTACAACCATCAAATGCAAATCCGTACTAATTTACAAAGAAAATTTTGTTACACATTTTAACATTACAAAATAAATCAAAATATTACACAAGTGATAGTGATACTAACATGATCATCACCGATACCTGTACCTTCTTCTGGTCCAAAAGTGCAGCGTTTGGTTGCGTATCCAATCTGACAATTTTTAAATATTTCCACACAACTATAAAATTTTTTTTTCATCTGAATCATCAAAAAAAAAAAAAGAACAAGCTCGGACAAACCTGCATAATACCATTGGTGAGCAATAAAACTTCATAAAACCATCTTCCACAATTAACTCCTGTCGTAGCACGAATTGATTCGAATGTAAAATTGTCATTTCTTATCTATAAATATCAAACAATTATAAATTAATAAGGAATAAACAAAACGATTCAATATATACTCTATCGAAAAAATTAATACCTCTAAACCATGTGGTGATAATTTCCAATGAGAAGTGGCATCCAAGGGGTTCAACATTACATTTATGCTATGATTTGTCGAACTATCATCAGTATTCCATATATCTCCCTACAAATTAAAATTAAACCATATAGCATTTATGACATTAAGAATCAAATTTAACATATTCAATAGAAGAAAGTCGTAAAAATTATACCTTGCCAGAATCTGATTCATAATAAATGATTAAATAAAAAAAAGTAAAAAATAAATTAACGAATTTTAATAGGAATAAAAATTAGACATCATCAATGAACAGCTGTAATAAAAATAACTAGACTGCTGTTATTGAATTTGTAGAAAAAAAAATTTTACCAGTGACATACCAAAAGTGTTTTTTAAAGCCCAATCTACACAGAATTTTAATTGCCTTTTACGATAAACTTCATTTGCTGAATTCTCATTTGAATGTAATTCTTTTGAAAGTACTTGTAAAATTTTATAAATATCCTTTTCGGCTGAGAGAATTTTTTGTTTATTTTGCCCTGTCATGCCAAATTTTTCTAGTGCGATTAGGGCAAATAATCGCACTCCTGCATCATTATCATGTTGAAGATAATCCAGCAACGTATTACATACACTATTAGTAAATAGTGATAAGCTAATTTCACCTATTCAAAAGAGTATGATTTATTCACAATATCTTTGAATTCTTTTTTTATATAGTAATTTTCGGTAATTGATCTCACCTGCCAATTTCTCAGCAAGGACACTCCAAATGATAGAGACATTAACTCTTATACGCTTCTTGGGTTTAGTTCGACCTAAAAATTATAATTATAAATTAATTATAAATTTAAATACAAGATTTAACATGTTTTCTAAAAATCAATAGAATAGATAAAAAAAATAATAATTCATACATAAGCCTGGTTTAAGTTTTTGAAGTAATCTTGTCGTTATCTTATGTGATGTTTCCTTGGAAGGAAGTGCGGCACTATCTATTTTTTATAAGTATTTTTGAAAATATCCTTTTTTCAGAAAATGTATAATAGTTCATAAATTTTTTCAAAAAAAAAAGAATAAAAAGTAAATCATTTACCGATAATATGACATAAGAAAGCCGAGGCCATTGGTGCCTCCGAAAGGACATCAGAAATGACCGTGATAAGTTCAATGAATTCGTTTTCTAAAGCACGAATCATATTTCAATTTTCATAAACGTAAAAATTGCATATTTTTAAACATAACTTTTAATATTTTCAATGAATGGATAAGTTTTTTGCAAGGAAAAGAATACCTTCATGAGACATTGATATCAGAGCTTCCAGAGCATCGACTAGTTCATCGTGTTCACTTAGACTATTCAAGTTTTTCCAGGCACTTCGAATGAAAGTTTTTCGAGAAAAACGGCCCAAAATGCGTAACACGAGTTTTTGCATTGGATCGTTTAGAAAACATAAAATAATTTTTGGATTATAAAAGAAAGTATCTTCAATGCAAATATAAAAGTATAAAAATGAATGAAAAAGAAAGTCTCAACCTATTTCTTTCTTTAGCATAAGCCGCATGTTTCGAAACTATTATTATTTTTGAGGTACGTACTTTTAAGTGACTTTGTGGAACATTATTGTCCACATGTTAGTACACAAGTACATCTTTTTATATACGTCTCCTAAAATATCAAAATTAAACATCATTACCAATTACCAATTACCAATACATATCAACTGAACAAGCTTCTACTATATTCATTCGTTTACTCACAATGTCGAACGTTGTTGAGGCTGAACAACATAAAAAAAAAGGAAATGCACATTTTAGCAATAAAGATTATAACAGAGCTATCACAGAATACTCTTTAGCTATCAATAAGGATCCTAAGAATACCGTTTATTATACAAACCGCGCATTATGTTACTTGAAGATCAAAAATTATGAAAGTGTTATAACAGACTGTGAAATGGCTATTAAACAAGATCCTACTTCAGTAAAAGGATATTATATGTTAGGTCAAGCTTTAACGGAACAAATTGATTTTGAAACTGCTATTTCAAATTTACAAAAAGCATATGACCTTACGATTGCAGATAAAGGCAGTTTTGCTGCAGAAATCGTTCAGGCTTTGTTGAATGCTCGGAAAAAGAAATGGAATTTGGAAGAGAAGAAACGCACTGATAAGGATTCTGAGTTATTAAGATATGTCAAAGGTTTAATTAACGCGGAACGTGAGAGACAACTTCAAAAAGTTTCACCAAAAACAATGCTTTCAAAATTTGTTACATCACATCCTCCAGATGTTCAAGCAAAATTAGATATTATTAATAAAGCACACAACGAAAAACTTTCTCACTTAGAACAAGTATTTTGTCAATCAGACGAAAACCTTCAACCGCGAGATTTGCCTGATTATTTTATGGACAAGATATCCTTCAATATTATGCATGATCCAGTTATCACACCATCAGGAATCACATATGAACGAGCACATTTGAAAGAACATTTTAAAAAGATTGGATATTTTGACCCATTATCAAGGCGTGATTGTCGGGAAAGTGATTTATACCCAAATTTAGCACTCAAAGAAGCAATTGAAGATTTTTTGAGCAAAAATGGCTGGGCTGCTGATTATTGAGGCTTTCAATATAAATATGAACAATTTATAAGGTTTGAAATATTTCTATTGTGGTGTAATAATGTTTCTGACATATCGGAATAAAGCGTGGTAATGAATCATGAGTGCCTCTTTTTTTTTGCAATTCACAATTCATATTGTAATTATTTACACTAATATTGGAATTTCAAATAAAAAAAAATTAAGATAATGCATAAAATAGAAATGCTTGCAAATAAATTTTCAATTTATTTTAGACAAAATTGGTCATTATGATTCTGGCAATTAAACAGACAAAATCATATATTTAGAATTGACATTTGCTTTTCACTTTTAATATTAAGAAAAAGTGATCGATATTGCAATATAACATATAACTAAATTTATGCAGGAATTCAATCCAAATTTTTAACTTGAATGTGCTCACTTTATCTTTCTAACAGACTTACGTGTACCTCGACTTCCACCCTTTTTTTTGGTACCACTTGAGGTACGGCGATTAGAAGTAGTAGCAGCGGCAGCACTAGACTTTTGTTTGATAAATTTATCTTTTGATAGATCATCATCGTCGTCACTAACCTCATCTTCATCTTTGACGGCTTGTTCAGTTTGTTCAACTTCAATTGCATCTTCAAAATCGGGAACTGCAGCAACACTACCAGCACCCTTTGATGATTTAACAGATGAAGCTTTGAGGAATGGTACAGGATGTGATGACGAATTATATCTTATAAAATATTAAAAATTTAGGCCAAGCGAGTTAAATCAGATTAATATAAACCACCATATCTTCTATATAAGATGTATCTTACTTTCTTGTAAAAGCTGCCTTAACACTTTTATCAATCTCTTTTAATATTTTATCACCTCCAATGCTTAATTCCACTATTGCATCCCAGTCTTCTTTGTTAAGATAATATTGGTCCATCAGTTCAATTACTTCAGTAATTCCATCCTAAATAAAAATATAAATTTCAAAATGATATACACTGTAAACAAATTAACATAAAATAACATTGTCGTACCGTTCCTTTATCGATTAGTGGTCGAGATAGTGCAGTAAATAACGCAGGGAGATAACTCTGCCGAATTTCATTTTTATCTCCAGATGTTTTTAATCGCATATGAATTTGTACCTCTCTCAAGATACGTTTATATTTGTTAGTTTTAGAGATTTGACCCAGTGAACTATCAATATGTAAATATGACTTTGTGAATTTTTGCAAAATATACAACTGAATTTAATTATGAAAAATCACTGCTTATACTTTGGAAATGCATAACGAGCACCGCTAGTGTTAGCACCATGAACATAATATGTTGGAATGACACAAGAAAACATTCCATGAACTGGCATAAGAGTCCATTGTGGCTGAGATCTAGAGTATGTACACAAAAACAAATATAACAATTTATACACCTAATACTTTGACTACGAAAACAAAATTACTTACCCATGAATCATCGCACTACAGAAATCACCATCCGATATAGAGGCTGCTGCTTTGCTCAGAGCACTTAGTAGAGAAATTTGCTCGAGATCAGTCGGGCTTACATCATCTCTTTCAATGGTGTTCGAAGAAAATTGAGGTTTAATTTTTAGATAATTTTCCTTAAAAAAATTAGTCAATTTTATTTAATTCATTATAGTCATTATCATGAAAGATTGAATCTATATAAAATCTCACTTGAATCATTAACGGCAAGATATCAGATTCATGAAAATATAGTTCTAATTTGTCGTTCAAATTGCTGTTACGATTATTCCATATCGAATTACCAAAAAGTCGACTGGTAATGTCAAATGGATCTAGGACTACATTTTTCTCTGATGCTTTATTTCTATATACAATGAAAATATACCCAGGATTATTAATTGAATATTAACAAATCTCAGGGAACTCAAATGAACATACAAAGCCTTGCCCTCATCATAAGTAATGCTATCATTTGCCAATTTCCAAGAAGACAATCTGTTTAAAATTTGTCGAATATCTGCATTCGCACCTGAGATAATCTCATCGACGATATTTGATTGGCTGATCTTGAGTTTTTCCCTAATGATAGCATATGTAACGACTTTTCAAAATAGAAAATATCAAATAATGATTAATGCAAATATTTCAAAAAACCTTGAAGCTATGGTCATGATTCGTGAGCGGACTTGCTCGACTCGAGGCCTGATAATTATAAATTGTACATTAATGGCATGAATGTCATATAGCAATTATTGACGTATTTATAGTTGACATTTACTTTTGGAATCTAATTTCTTGACAAACGTTAATTAAAGATTGTAGCTTTTTTCCTTTTTCATTACAAATACAGATAATTGGAACCTTGAACAAAAGCAAATAAAAATTTTTTTTTTTTTGTTTTTAGAACTATGCTTTTTAACTAAATATTATAATTTGCATATATATTTTTAATAAATACCTGGGTTTTCTTGATTAATTGGGCAAGTTCAGCGACACCACCTCGATCTCCGGCGGACATGCCATCAACCTCATCCATGATTATAAGAGTTCTATTCATTTTTTGCGCCTTCTAAAATAGAATAATTAAACAAATAATACTTTCGTTGAGATTAATTGAATGACGAAAAAGGAAAACCTGTAAATCATTTCACTTATTATGTGAAATGATTTACAGGTTTTCCCTTTTCGTTACTCAATTCAATGTAACGCAAATTCTACCTCAGTTGCAGATCGAAAAAATCCTATGATTGAAGTGTTGTGTGTAGCTGTTTTAACAGCCATCTAACAAATATTAAGTTTAATGAAATAACAAATAAAAAATAAAATAAATAAATAAGTCATTGAAATATAACATACTTCCAGCGCTTTTTTGCTGCGAGTATCACTAGCGTTAAATTCCTTCACATCAAAACCTTCAAGTTTACCAACTAAGTGTGCAGCTGTAGTCTATATAAATACATTATTTAAATGTCTGCCAGATATATTAATAGAACTCGAAACTTTTAAGTCATTTTAATACTTTGCCAATTCCTGGAGGACCAGATAGTAGAACAGCTGGGAAGCTTGAATTAAAATTGAAGCCACTTTTCATATTCGATTCCCTAAAGATTATTCGATTAAAAACCGAACCACTTAAGAAATTTCTTCTACCAAAAAATCCTGTCATCATGGCTTAACTTACCAAGCTTTAAGCCATTTTTGAAGATTTTCAACGGCAGATTTGTTACCGCACACTTCTTTAAGGGTTTTTGGTTTATATTTATCAGACCATAATTGAGATAGACTTTCTCTAAACAAAATGCCAATTGTAAAAGAATAAGGGAAAAGTACATTGTGTACTCTATAAAAATCAATATAAATAACACACGTGCTAGAAGTACTGGATGTTGGTTCGGAAATTTCCATGGCATCGGAGGCACGTGATTTTCCTTTCGCAGAACTGGATTGAGAGGGTTCAGATTGCTGTGCAGGTGCGTTTTTTATGAGGTCTAATAATTCGTCTTCGGTTAAAGTTGGAATATTATGCTGTTTGATCTTTTCCAGTTTCTTTGGACCGGGGTTGTCACCAACAACAACATAAGTCGTACGTGAACTTGGTAGTAGGGTGACTTTTCTAAAATAAGAACTTATATAAACCTCGCATTGCGCATTTTCTAAACTAAACTACTTCAATACTAACCCTCCATAACGTTTGACGAGGTCCTGAGCGTCCTCTCTAGGAAGAGTTGCTAAATCGCCAGTAAAGACAAATGTTTTTCCCTTATAATGACAGATATTATAACCAATTAAAGAAAATGAAGGAAATGAGCAAAATTAGAGGGCTTGGTGCTGAGAAAAGGGTCGAATTGACAAAAAAAAAAAAGGTTTGTGGAAAATTGATTTTTATATTATAAATTCTATAATAAGAAAATAAAAAACTTTAAAGAATTATACTGCAAGGTTTTATTAAGATAATAGTATTTGTCCCTTAAGTAAAAAATGTTTCTAGACTAATTTTGAATTAGTTAAGCTCAAAAAAAATTTTTATTTTTTATTATTTTCACAGCACCTAGCCCAAATAATAAATTCTAAAAAGAGCCAAAACCTACTAATAAGCAATTTTCTGCGCCTTCAGGTATTTCTTTGTCTTTGGATTCTGGTGCGGGAGGATCAGTTTTCGGCTGCTTTTTTTTAGGAGCCTCTGAGTATGAATCATCTTCCTTTGCTCTCTTAGAAGATTTAGATTTAACAGGATCCATTCTTGGTTCCTCGGGAACGTTTTCACTTTGATCGGGATTAGCATCGGATTTTGAAGTCTTTTACGCGTGTACAAAATAGTAAAACTCGATCAGTAACATAATACGCGAAATAAATAAAAAATAATTTCCTTTAGATACCTTCTTCGCGTGTTTTTTTGTGTTAGAAGCACCACCAGGTGCATTAAAGTACTTTCGAATATCCATCTTCGCCTTTAAACTAGAGGTAATTCAAAATGTAACCAGTGGGAAAAAAATTGGATCTTATATCTGTTACTGTCATCTGATCCAATGATCTGATCAATGATTTAATTCAATAAAACACCAATAACAAGAGTTCGCATCGCACTGTTGCAGTGCGTGATAAATTAGGATATAGGGGAATTTTCTTCTGATTGGTCAATCATTTATAATTGTATTTATATACTAATAGTCACTATGCAAAATAATTTCATACCTAATTTAGGGAACCGTTAAAGCCAGGTTCAATCACGTGACCGACGGCCCGACCGTCCGGAGACCGGAGCTATCATATTATCGATGACGGCAAATCAATTCAAGATTGATAATCTCACTAATGCGCTATATAAGGGGGAACGTTAAAGCCAGGTACCAGTTAAGGTTACTTTTTTGATGCAGTTTGGGTTAATGGATTATATAGATATCAAGAATACAATTTATGCAGTATGTAAATCATTATATGAATGTACCTGGCTTTAACGGACCCCTATATAAGGTAAATTGGCAAAACATAAAAAAAAAAACTTAATACCTCTTGACGGTACTTTGCCAGAGAAGACTTTCTGCAAAAGAAAGCCTACAAACATCAAGAGATTTTTTTTAAATATCGACTAGTAGTGCATAAACACTTTTCAATTACTTCTCACGCATAAACTTTCACAAAAAAAAAAAAAAAAAAAATTAAAAAATTAAAGGCTTACAATAACTTCCGCGCATAAACTTTCACAAAAAAAAAATAAAAAAAATCATAACCATAGCAAGAACTTCCTTCAAATAATAACAAATAACGATAATGAATATCTCCGGCAAAGAAAACACCTCTCAAAGAATAAGCGCGGTATTTCCGCAACAAATTTTTGAATCAGTAGACTTGTCGCAGCAAAGGTCCCCCACAAATACAATGGTAATGGACTCAATAGCAGGTCTTACGTGTGATCAAAAACGTATATTACTTTATAATGTCCAACAACCATTCGAAGTTCCGATGACAGAATTCGACAATGAATGGTGGCCTTTAGTTACGAACATTTGGGTGAAATTTAGTTATAAAACTCTTGTGAATGGGAATTCTTGAAAAACCTTCATATGTTGTTTTGCCAAACACTTTGAATAAAGTATGCGTAAAGAAGGCATTCCAAGTGAAAAACGACGGAAAACCAAGGTTCGAGAAGCAGACTTATGCTATGCAAAAATAAAGGTATCATGGTTTGTTGTCGAGCAAAAAGTGTGTGTTGAACGGTTCCCAGGTTCCTCGGACTATGTGCATGATTTGAATGAAAGTGACAAGCTTAAACATTCCTAGGCTGTTAAAGTTTTAGTAGAAAAGGAGGCGATGAAAAATTATCCTACACCTGCAATAGTAAATGTAGTTAAAGAGTATGCATTTGAGAAGCTGGATCTTGGCACGAGTATAAAGGAATTAAAGTGGAGGGAAGTCGCCAATATAAAGTACAAAGTCTGTGGACCACAAAACACTTATCTTATTGGCACTTCTAAACTAGCACCAGATATCCAAGATGCAATTTCTTTTTTAAAAAAGGAAGGTTATCAAGTCGAATCATATAAA